ATAAATACATGCAGCAATCACTGGATATTGATGGACATCGATCTGGTGAAAAGTCACTTGATAATCTATGACTCGATGAGAAAACCACAACAAGACTACCAAGATATGATAGATATTATCCAGAGGTAATTTCAGTATCTCTAGCAACTATATATACACACAAACATGATGATTAACTATATCTGATGACGTGGCAAATTTTTTATTGGGCAGTATTTGGAAAACCTTTATTGAGAAGCAACACATGGGAAAATGCAAAGCGCCACTGAATGTAATCCCTTTGAAAGTAAGTCTCCTAAATCGCATCATATTTATTAATTAAACATATAGCTTTCACTGGATCACCAGATTGGATGACAAATCTTTTTCTCGTAAAGTGGTGTCTGAGGCAGGAACAGGGGAACAACTACTGTGGTTACTATGTTTACAAGTTTATCAAGGTGGTCTCCCAAAGAACTCCTACAGAGAGACTCAAAGTACGTTAAAAATACACTATATATTCATTTAATTATTATTATTGATTGTATTACTATGTCTTTATATATATATATATATATTAATTTATTTTCCTTTAATTCAAACCTGTAGGCTCGATGGTTGGAGGAAAAGGTCATACGGCAAGACCAAATCAAAGCAATTCAAGAGTCTATAGCCGGATTTTTTAATAAGCAGGTCATCGATTCCAAGGACGAGTTCTACTTCGACCCAACACTGCCATGGAGGCCAAGCTAGAGGATGAGAGGAAACTTGTTATATATCACAACAACTGTAATGCAATCTTTTGTAATATATGCACATGAAATAATATAATGTAAAATACACATATGCATGCATGCATATATATATATATATATATATATATATATTTCTATGCTTGGATTGTGTGATTTAATATGTTCATTGTGCTTGAACCGAAACATACTATACGCGCGTATAAATGTATAATTAGCAGCGTACAATACGACTTCGAAAACCTATTTTGAAAAGAAAACAAAAAAATGAAAAGAAAAGAAAAAAGAAAAAAAAACCTTTAGTCCCTGTTCGTATTGCCATCCGGGACTAAAGGTGTCGGCCATCGTGGCATGTCACGAGGCACCTTTAGTCCTGATTGGTGTTATCCACCGGGACTAGAGGTCCTCCTTTAGTCCCGGTTCCTGACCCGGGACTAAAGGACCCCCTTTAGTCCCGGATGTTTGCTCCCGGGTGGGGAACCGGGACTAGAGGGGATTCGCTACTGGGAGTAAAGCTCTGTTCTCTACCAGTGCATATACTCTAAGTATACATACATACTTGTCATACATAGTACCCTAGATGGTTTAGTATGATGATATACTCCATCTACGTAAACTTCGTCGAGCCATATACGTCCTAAATCTAGAGATATACACATGCGAGTAACTACTTATTGGGAGTAGAAAATAATATATATATATATATATATATATATATATATATAAGCTTGCAAAAGAGAGGAGTTTAGTGTTGTTATCTGATTATTAGTCCATTTAATCAAATACTAATACTTTTGTGCCCACCATGCACATGTGCCAAGCTAATAAAGGTGCCTCAGTAGTTATATATTCTCCGCCCGCCACAAGATACACAGATTCCAGCGGCGACCTCGGCCCTCAACACGAGAAACGTCGGGACGACAGGACATACTCCTGTGCATCAGAACACATGCTTGCTTGGTTCGATGAATGAACAACTAATATATAATATACTCTCGTATCTGAATTATAAGTTATTTTAACTTTTTTGATTTATCTATTTTATTATAAATCTAGATATATAGTAAAATAAATTTATTAAAAAAGTCAAAGTGACTTATAATTTAGAATGGAGAAAATACCTGTATGTATATTGAGATGTAGGCATATATCGATTGTTCTCTATATGCACGTTGTATCGATTGTTCTCTATATGCACGTTGCATCCAGGGGCGGATCCATAGTCATGGTAGGGGGTGCGGCCGCACCTACGAAAAATCAGAAAAACAGTGATTATGTTTAATTTTTCACCATATATGCACCCACACTATAAAATTCTATGCATCCACAAGGCTAGCGCACCCTCCTTGATTTTGCTCTAGCTCCGCCACTGGTTGCATCTAGTAAAGTTATGTTTGGTTACTTTGTATTGTAGTGCCTGTTGATACCTTCATGTTCATATAGAGGTACTTGTGCAAACCTACATTGTTTAATACTTCCTCTATTTTAAATTATAATTTATTTGATTTTTTTTACTCTAAGTTTGACCACTCGTCTTATTCAAAAAAAATGTATACAAACATAGTCAAATTTAAGTCATTCTTGAAGAACTTTTATTAATAAAGCAAGCCACAACAAAAGAAGTGAAATTTAACATAAATTTTTGAATAAGACGAGTGATCAAATTTAGGGTAAAAAAAGTCAAACGAACTATAATTTAGAACGGATTTAGTATATGACAACACCTTGAGTACTAGCTAATGCAGTCTTGGCATAGTGTAAACATGCATAGGGATCTATGTGGGCAACTAAACAAGAAAATAATTTTACATCATAAGCCTTGATATAGACCAATGCAAACAACCAGACACACCCTATAAGATCCTTGTATACGGATTCTCGTGCAAAGTTGAGGATAGAAAACACCGCTAACAATGCCTTTAGAATGCACATGGCCTAAAATATGAGATCAAACACACTAAGTGCTCCTACTTTTTTTAACAAGAAAGGAGAGACCTGAGATAACATGACCCAAAACCAATACATTAATTTCTTATGTACTATTCACTTATGTAAAATTCGGTTTGCTTCCTTCTTAAATAAATGAGCAGTGTTGCTATTTTCCCTTAGAAAAGAGAGAAAAAGGAAGGCAACATGGCAAAAAAACCAAAAATAACTTTTAACGCTTTACTTATTATACGATAGAAAATATACTTCTAACATAAGTGCAACTCCAAGAGACTCTCATTGTCCTTTTTGATTGTTAGGATTGAAGATTTTGATGAAAAATTACTCTTCAACCACTTCTCTAAGTGGTTATCCAAATATAGCCATCCTTTATTTCAGATTTCTCACTAGCCAAAGATAAATAGCGAAAATGGCTCTCTTAAGTGTACACAAAATATAGAAAAACGGTTAGAGAATGAAAACATATAGAAAGCGACTTTTATATAGATGGCTCTCCAAATTTAGATAGAATAGAAAGACTTACGTAGATGCTCTATGTAAGACTATTTTAAAACGGAAATGTTGTGGTGCGGACGTCCGTGCTTCCTAGGCTATGTGCTACCAGCCCAATAATCCAGCTCGTCTCTACCTTCCTTCATAGTTTCTAAAAAAAGACTGCGACATTATTTCCCAACTCTCACGGCCGTTGCGGCGTTCCCCACCGCTTGCCTACTCTAGCGCGGTTGCTGCTCGCCGCAGCCTTCTCCAGCGTTGAGGCGCCTCGCCGCGGGCATGGCACCCATCCCACCACTGTTGCCGCCTCCACCACGAGTGCCACTCGCCAAGGGCACCGCACGCGCCCCTATCGCGAGGGCAGCGCAGCAGCTCACCGGGGGCCGCGCAACCCTCCTCCTAGACCTATCATGACCTTCTTCACCGGAGCGGCGAGCTCTACACCACCAAACTCCACACACCAATGAGCCTCCGTTCCTAAGTAGCAAGGAGATGTTACGCTGAAAGCGCATGTTGCAAATATATGTTTCATAGGTATGTTACAAATATTTTATATTAGTGTTGCAAAAGTATATCAGGATGTTACACATATTGCAATGGCTATGCACGTATGTTTCAAGTGTACTCCCTCGGTCCCAAAATAAATGTTGTTCTTGTTTCTCGAGGAGTCAAACGCTTTCAACTTTGACCAAATATATACAAGAAAATATTAATATTTATAGTATATAATTATTATCATTAGATAGATCGTTGAATCTATTTTTTATAATAAATTTGTTTAGAGATACAAATATTGCTAATATTTGCTACAAACCTAGTGAAACTTAAAAAAGTTAGACCTGCACGATTACCATAGCGACACTTATTTTGGGACGGAGAGAGTATGTTCCAAATGTTTTATTCGTATCAGACATATGTTGTAAGTGTTTTCAGTAAAGTAGATCTTGATGTTGCATATACTTGCATGTTGCGAGCGTATGATTGAAGCGTTTAAGACGTTTCATACGTCTGTTGTAATTGTTTCATCTAAATGTTGCATATGTTTGCAATGATTTTCAAGTGTTTTTCAGGTTTTTTACAAGTGTTTGAGACGCATATTCCAAGTGTTTTATGTGTCTTCTTTTATATGTTCCAATTGTTGGGCGCACTGTTGGGGCGTTCGCTCGCAAGCTCAACGCGCTCATTGAACAACTGTTGCAATTGTTTTATATAAATATTGTATATGTTTGCAATGATTTTCAAGTGTTTTTCGGATGATTTTATAAATATTTGAGACGCATACTCAAAGTGTTTGTATGTCTTCTTTTATACGTTCCAACGGTTGACGCGGGCACACTGCTGAAACGTTCGAACGCAAGCTCAACACGCTCGTTGAACAGCTACCGTCCGATGCTAGCGTTGCGGATGGGACGTCCGGCGCTAGCCAGTCCGATTTTAAAAATATGCATTCAGGAGATTTGCCTGTGGGGTTGCGTTGCGTGCTTGCGTTTGCCAACACCCAACACCAACACCAATTATTGTCAAAAAAAAAAAAAAAAAAACACACCAACACCAACCCTCCTTTTTCTTCCTCCGCTTCAACCTCTCCCACTCTCTCTCTCTCTCTCTCTCGGCCTTTCTTTTCCTAGCGGCGCCGCCATTCGATCAGTCTTCGTCGGCCGCTTCGCCGGCGACAGCATACTCCAGGTATGCCGTCCCTTCCGTTCCTCTGTGAGAATTCAAACACCCCGAACTCTCCCAATCTACTATTTGTATTCGGATCTGACCATTTTCACTGGGCCCGCCCCTGATTCGCAGGTCGGTTGGTTTCGGCACTTCGGACCGGCGGCCATGGCTTCCGACGGCATCGCCCCCAGAGGTATTATTTTTTCGTCTCTTCTTCTTGTGTTCAAACAGACAGACGTCAAGACGCCGAGAGGTACAAAGATAGATTTTTTGGGCAATGAGCACGCCATTGCGCTTCCAGCGATCTGATATGTTGGGAATTCTGTTTTTTTGTAGCTTGCAAGGCCGAAATTTGTCGCTTTTCCGTGTAATTCTAGTGCCTGTCTGCATCCATTAGGGCATTCTAGCTGCTCCATGCTCTTGATCTCGTCCTTGTAGTCCCTGATCCGTTTGCTTGATTGAATCCATTGTCTTCCAAAGTTTGTTGCTACTAAAAAGTTACTGCAAAATGCATTTATATTATTACCACAAGTTCTGTTTTTGCCTTTTCGGGTTGCACAGAAGGGAGTGCTACACACGTACTTGGTTGTAGCATCTACTGCCATCATTGTTGTTATAGCTCCAATTGGAACAAGTGATTCACTGGTAGTGCAGTATGCCAGTATGTGCTTTTCATGTGTGTTTGGTTTGTACCATCAGATGGAACTATAAGCACGGTTTACACATTACTATAGATATACTGTGAGGTGCATGCATACTAGATGGTTCTGATTTGTTCTACAGTCAGTAACTTTTTCTTCCTTGCTCGCAGATGTATGTGTTGTCGGGGTCGCACGCACCCCTATGGGTGGTTTCCTTGGTGCCTTGTCTTCCTTGCCTGCTACAAAACTTGGCTCTATAGCAATTCAAGGTGAGATCCGAATCTTCTCTGCATTTACATCTGAGCTCTGAACAAGCTATATTTGTTTCTCCCCAATAGCACTGACATGGCCATGGCTGGGGCTGTTAGCTGCTCTGGAAAGAGCAAATGTGGATCCAGCCCTCGTGCAGGAGGTCTACTTTGGAAATGTCTTGAGTGCTAATTTGGGACAAGCTCCCGCAAGGCAAGCTGCTCTGGGTGCCGGGATACCAAACTCTGTTGTTTGCACCACTGTTAACAAAGTCTGTGCATCTGGCATGAAAGGTTTGAATCGAATTTATCTGTCCGTCCTTGTATACACTGCTCAAAGTTCACAGAAGTGAGAGATTACCTGACCATGCTCTTGCTTTTCTTTCCTATATGCAGCTACTATGTTTGCAGCACAGTCAATTCAATTGGGTATCAATGATATTGTTGTGGCAGGTGGCATGGAAAGCATGTCCAATGCCCCAAAGTACATTGCTGAAGCTAGGTATGCAATTATTATTTGGTGGATACACCCAATATCGAGCTGCATAAACCAAATTATAATCTTAAGTTATTTGGTGGGTACATGCATGTTTACTTATTTGCATTGCAATTTCTAAATTTGTTTGTAAGATATGTCGATTCACCAGCGGCGAGGCTATTAATGAAGTGACCAGTTTTATTGTGAAAGTATATTATGTTCTTGTTTGAAGTGGATTTCAACTGCTTTAATACAATAAGCTTGCTAATTACAAATGCAGGAAGGGGTCTCGTTTTGGTCATGACACACTTGTTGACGCCATGCTTAAGGATGGGCTTTGGGATGTATACAATGATTGTGCCATGGGAATGTGTGCCGAGCTTTGTGCTGACAATCATGCCCTCACAAGAGAAGACCAGGTCTCTTGATACAGACAACAGTAAATGCCGTTTGTTATAGTATATAATATATTAATATATTCCCCTATCTGCCAAGATATAAGTTGTGGTATTCAACAGTTGTCAATGCTGGCAATTCTTTTGGAGACTTTTCCCTGTGTGCCATTATAAAAGATCGTAATGCCCAATGTGCCCCTGGAAAAATTCAGCGGTCTTCAGCGCCACTACTCTAACTTTTTCGTGTCCTCCATGCCACTTAGATCTCAGATTTGAGCTCTAAATTTCAAGCTGCAGGTGTGAAAAAATGATGATACCCTTAAGTCTAAATATATTATTAATTTTTTGAGCATCTAAACTTCAAATGAAAAAACTATGAAAACTAGAAAGTTGTAGATCTCGAAATGAGATCTATAATTTTCATATAAAATTTATTTTCATTTAATTCCAAAAAAAATGATGATTTTCAAAATATATTAATCATATCAAATCATATTTTTTTGCGAATTAAATGAATTTTCGCTCTTTATATCACACTCGTAGTTTGACGATATTGAAGTAGAGTCCAAACTCATAAGTGGCATGGAGGACACGTTAAAAGTTAGAGTAGTGGTGCCGAAAACTGCTGAATTTTTCTAGGAGCAATACAGTGGGATTACGATCTTTTATAATGGCATGCGATCTTTTATAATAACTGAAAAGTCTCATTCTTTTGAGAGTGCCTGGATTCTTCTTGCTTTATCTTGGTTATCATCCTAAATGGTCTAGACCAAAGATCTGCATTCCTTGTCTAGTAACTGGGGTCCTTTCGGGCAATGATTTTCTGTCAAAGTTTATGGCATGATTGAGAGGGTGGGCTTATGCATGCTCGGGTCCGTGAACTAACCATTCATTTGCTTCCAAAGATAGAAGTAGATGTGTGGGCCTGTTTGGTTTATGTCCCAAACTTGCGAACCATAAGTCCAGCGTGCCACACTCACTCTGCCACTTGTTTGCTTTTTGACGCATCTCCGGCATGCCGCACTTCTATATGCTTGTCTGTTGTGCTCAACGGCAACTTTTTGACGCCAAATGTTGGGTGAGCAAAATGGACGCTTAGACTTTTAAGCAGACCCAGAGTTCGATTATAGCAACTGCATGGTCACAAGCCAAACAACAACAACAACAACAACAACAACAACAACAACAACAACAACAAAAAGTTTTTAAGTCCCAAACAAGTTGGGGTAGGCTAGAGTTGAAACCCAACAGAAACAATCAAGGTTCGAACACGTGAATAGTCAGTCTTCTTCAAGCATTCCTATCTAAGGCTAAGTCTTTGGGTATATTCCATCCTTTCAAGTCTCCTTTTATTGCCTCTACCCAAGTCAACTTCGGTCTTCCTCTTGCCTCTCTTCACGTTACTATCCCGACTTAGGATTCCACTACACGCACCGGTGCATCTGAAGGTCTCAGCTTGCACATGTCCAAACCATCTCAACCGGTGTTGGACAAGCTTTTCTTCAATTGGCGCTACCCCTAATCTCTCACGTATATCATCGTTCCGAACTCGATCCCTTCTTGTATGCCCGCAAATCCAACGCAACATACGCATTTCCGCGACACTTAGCTGTTGAATATGTCGTCTTTTCGTAGGCCAACATTCTGCACCATACAACATAGCAGGTCTAATCGCCGTCCTATAAAACTTGCCTTTTAGCTTCTGTGGTACCCTTTTGTCACATAGGACACCAGACGCTTGCCGCCACTTCATCCACCCTGCTTTGATTCTATGGCTAACATCTTCATCAATATCTCCATCCCTCTCAGTAGCATTGATCCTAATATATCGAAGGTATCCATCCTAGGCACTACTTGACCTTCCAAACTAACATCTTCCTCCTCCCGAGTAGTAGTGCAAGTCACATCTCATATACTCGGTTTTTTAGTTCTACTAAGTCTAAAACCTTTGAACTCCAAAGTCTCCCGCCATAACTCCGGTTTACGATTCACTCCTATCCGCTTTCATCAACTAGCACTACATCGTCGTCATGAAAAGCATACACCAAGGGATGTCCCTTGTATGTCCCTTGTGACCTCATCCATCACTAAAGCAAACAAATAAGGGCTCAAAGTCGATCCTTGATGTAGTCCTATCCTAATCGGGAAGTCATCCGTGTGTCTCCATCACTTGTTCGAACTCTAGTCACAACATTGTTGTACATGTCCTTAATGAGCCCGAGCGTGCTTTGTTGGGACTTTATGTTTGTCCAAAGCCCACCACATAACATTCCTTGGTATTTTATCATAAGCCTTCTCCAAGTCAATAAAAACCATGTGTAGGTCCTTCTTCTTCTCCTATACCGCTCCATAACTTGTCTTATTAAGAAAATGGCTTCCATGGTTGACCTTCCGGCATGAAACCAAATTGGTTCATAGAGACCAGCGTTATTGCTCTCAAGCGATGCTCGATAACTCTCTCCCATAGCTTCATAGTATGGCTCATCAACTTAATTCCCGGTAATTTGTACAACTTTGAATATCCCTTTATTCTTGTAGATCGGTACCAATATACTTCTCCTCCACTCATCGGGCATCTTGTTTGATCGAAAAATATGGTTGAACAACTTGGTCAACCATACTACATGATATGTCCCCGAGGCATCTCCACACCTCGATTGGGATACCATCCGGTCCCATCGCCTTACCTCCTTTCATCCTTTTCAACGCCTCTCGACCTCGATTCTTGGATTCTCCGCTTTAAAGCGCCTATTGGTGTCATCAAAAGAGTCATCCAACCGAAAGGTTGTGTCCATATTCTCACCATTGAACAATTTATCAAAATACTCTTGCCATCGATGTCGGATCTCATCCTCCTTTACCAAGAGATGCTCCTTTTCATCCTTAATGCACTTAACTTGGTTGAAGTCCCGTGTCTTTCTCTCACGAACCCTAGCCATCCTATAAATGTCCTTCTCTCCTTCCTTCAGACTCAAATGTTGATAAAGATCCTCGTCGCTCTACCCTTTGCCACACTTACATTTCGCTTTGCGGTCTTCTTTGCCACCTTGTACTTCTCTATGTTGTCCACACTCTGTCATGGTACAAGCGTCTATAGCATTCTTTCTTCTCCTTAATAGCCCTTTGGACTTCCTCGTTCCACCACCAAGTGTCTTTAGCCTCGCGTCCCCTTCCTTTGGTTACTCCACACACCTCTCGAGGCTACCTTCCGAATGTTGGTTGCCATCTTGTCCCACATATTGTTTATGTCGTCTTCTTCCTTCCAAGAGCCCTCTTTAATAACCCTTTCTCTAAATACCTCTGACGTCTCCCCTTTCAGTTTCCACCACTTTGTTCTTTCAATCTTAGCTTGTTTATCCCTCACGGCACGCACACTGAAAACGAAAATCGCCACCAAAAGCTTATGTTGAGAAACAACACACTCCCTGGTATCACCTTGCAATCCAAGCATGCTCGTTTGTCCTTTCTTCTTGCGAGGACAAAGTCAATCTGCTACAATGTTGTCCGCTCATCAAGGTCACTAGATGAGATTCTCTCTTTCTAAAGAAAGTGTTGGCTATCATCAGTCAAAAGCTACCGCCAAAGTCCGTAACTTCCTCCCCCTCCGATTCCTACTACCATACCCAAAACCTCCATGAATCGCCTCGAAACTCAAAGCTTGTAGTACCTACATGCCCATTAAGATCTCCTCCTATAAAAAGCTTCTCACTACTAGGTATAGCTCTAACCAAAGCCATCTAAGTCTTCCCAGAATCTGTCTCTTAGCACTCTCGTCGAGACCTACTTGGGGGCATACGCACTAATTACGTTCAAGACCATATCACCAACGACAAGCTTGACTAAGATAATCCTATCTCCTTGTCTTCTCACTCCCACCACACCATTCTTGAGGCTTTTTATTGAATGGTGTGGTGGGAGTGAAAAGGCAAAGAGTTAGGGGACAGTCGCTTTGGTACTCCTACTCCATTTCTATTCGCGACTGTCCCTGTGTACCAAAGCTTGAAACCTGTATTGTCCACCTCCTTCGCCTTCTGACCCTTCCATTTAGTCTCTTGAACGCATAATATATTTACACGCCTCCTAGTCGCGGTATCAACTAATTCTCTTAACTTACCTGTAAGTGACCCTACATTCCAACTATCTAAACGGATCCTAGTTGGTTCGACTAGCTTCCTTACCCTTCGCACCCGTCGACTCTGATGCGAAGACCCTTGCTCATTTTTCACTACACCCGGGCGCCGATGTAGCGCGCCACTAAGGAAGCGACGACCCGATCCTTGGTTACTTGACACCATGCCCAGATCACGACACGGCGCGTCACGGGGGTGACGACCCGGCCCTTGCCCATTTAACACCATACCCGGGTTCCGATATGGCGCGTCGCTAAGAGGGTTACGCCCCAACGATTTTCTTTCGGGTTTCATCTCCATTTAAGTGGCTAAGTTTTTACATTGGCTCGCCACGCCTAACACAACCCTCCTCCTTTACCGGGGCTTGGGACCTGCTATGCTGGGACACCAAAGGCGCCCCACCATAGGCGGAGTTGGTCACAAGCCAAACAGAGCCAAAAAAGAGCACCTTTTGTATTCTTGTTAGAACCATAGAAATATTAATCTCTTAAAAGCTTCTCATCAGTACACGACATTACAATTTTATACCTGTGTCTGTTTACGTAATTCTTCTTCTTAATAAATTTGATATAGTATTAATTAAAATTGTCAGTTGCCTTTGAATTTTCATTTATCTGTTGCAATGCATTTTTGTCTATATTGCAATAAATATATTTCCAATTTATGATATATTTGATTTTACTTACTCTTGCATAGGATGCATTTGCTATCCAAAGCAACGAGCGTGGAATTGCTGCTCGCGACAGTGGTGCTTTTACATGGGAGATCGTCCCAGTAATTTTCTCCCTCATTGATGATACTAGACATTATGTGCTTTGCTTGGTTTTCTTATGTTCAATGTTTTGTCCCCTAGGTTCAAGTTCCTGTTGGTAGAGGAAAACCCCCAACACTCATTGACAAAGATGAAAGCCTGGATAAGGTATTTTTTTTTCTCTGATGTAACAAAATATTTTGAACAAAATAAAACTTGTAGTTGGTCAAAGGCAAAAAGACTGGCAGGCACTTGATTCATTATTCTTGCTTCCTCCAAATGCAACGTCCCTCGCATAATGAGCTTGTTAACAGTTATTGTAAGATCAATGCATGACAGTTTAATTTATGTCTTGTGCTATTTCTTTTGTCTCTTAGTTTGACCCTGTAAAACTAAAGAAACTTCGCCCAAGTTTCAAGGAGAATGGTGGTACAGTTACAGCTGGAAATGCTTCTAGTATAAGGTAGCTGCTTGAATTATTTCCGAGACCTTTTTGTCCTACAAAAGGCTTTCTGAGACCTTGTTTTTTCTGCCATATGTTGTTTAGCTAACAGGTCTGAAGGACAGCCTATTTCATTGTTGACAGTTAAATTATATTATTTATATTATGCATGCATTTTGTTGACTTCATTGCTTCTCTATTTGTTTTTAGACTGTTTGGGTATGCTCTACTTTGTTAAATAAATGATAACTTTTTCTTCAGAATTGCTACCGAAATCGGTGTAAATGATTTATCACATAAGTAAAATCATTTTTTAATGTCTTATTATGTCCATTCAAACAACAAAAACTGGCCTACTTTTTTTCTTCATGGTTGCCCTAGACCTTGTTCATTTCACTTTGTATGTCTATTTTTAGCTGACCAGTACTGCCCAGTGTACTGCCTGCTATTGCTTGTGTAGCCTTCTGCAACCAGGCATATCTAATTTGTTTTATATGGATCAGTGATGGAGCTGCTGCATTAGTTTTGGTGAGTGGGCAGAAGGCTCAAGAGCTTGGCCTGCAAGTCCATGCAAGGATCAAAGGATATGCTGATGCAGCTCAAGTAAACCACAGTAACAGTTGTTAGCTCCCTTAAGAGTAGAGTGCGCTTATTCTAATTTACAGTGTGATCTAAATATTTTAGGATATAAGAAGTTATTTTATCTGGAACGGTTTTATGTTTTTTTATTTTAGATATCAAAGTTTATCAACTATTGGAATTTGTAATCTGGAATATTATTTTGTAAATATGGATGTTGTTTATACAGGCTCCGGAGCTTTTTACAACCACTCCAGCACTTGCAATACCAAAGGCTATCGCAAATGCTGGATTAGAGTCATCCCATGTTGATTTCTATGAGATTAATGAAGCCTTTTCGGTATGTATTGAGTTTCTTTTACTCACTACTTAATTTTTTGTAAGCCTTCTTTGTTATGCATTGAGAGTTTGTTTTACTGATTACTTTTTTTTTGTAATAACATGTCTTTTTACTTATCAATACAGGCTGTTGCACTTGCAAATCAAAAGCTTCTTGGGATTCCTTCAGTAAGTGTCACCTGTATTAAACTGCCATTCTTTGTGGATTTTAAAAGTTAAACCTCATTTTCAGAAAGTACACATTGGCTCTTTTGTTATTCGCTATGCAGCAGCAACATGTAATTGCATGATAACAGTATTCTCTGTGCTAACAACATATGTGTTTGCAGGAAAAGATTAATGTTCATGGAGGAGCTGTATGTTTAGGACATCCTCTCGGGTGCAGTGGTGCTCGCATTTTGGTTACCCTTATTGGTGTAAGTTCTATCTTAAGTGCTTGCTTTATCTTCTGAGATACAATCCCTTTTGTTTAAAGATGTGCAATGTTTTTGTAGTAAAAAATTAGATGCCAGTCTTTGAGTAAATAATAATTCTGACAAATAATTTAGCATATCATCATAGGGTTCGCGATTAACAGTAAACATCTTCACTATTGCTACTGGGTTCTATGTGGGATCGAGCCACCCCATCCCTATACCAAACACTACCTTAGTGGTTTTCAATTTGCAAATTATCTGCAAATAGGATCTTGTATAAACCTGCAAATGTGGAGTTCACATTGATATTTGACTCATATTATGAGAGCCACCCCATCCCTTGTTTCACTTCTTGGTTCTTGCTGCTGATCAGTAGTTTCTCTCATTTTCTTTAAGCAAAATCTTGGGCATAATCTGTTGTCATCATGTTGGGACATCAAATATATGGTGCTCGACCCTCATAATCCTTGTTCCTTTTTAACAGGTTCTCAGGGCGAAGAGTGGCAAGATCGGAGTTGCTGGTGTTTGCAATGGTGGAGGCGGAGCATCAGCTCTTGTTCTCGAGCTCGCATAAGAAATCTAGACCTTGTAAGACTGAAAACACTGAATATATCTCAACTCAAATGAATTCTTTTACTACATGACTAAGTATTAAAAAGGTGCTAACAAATATGAGTTGTTATTGTCAACTTGTAATATGATTGCATATTCAGCTGAATCTAATTGAGTAATCTTTTCTTTTTACAATTGTTGTGCAATTTCACTAACGGCTGCAACTTGATATTGCAGGTGCAATCTTTTCAGTAGTTAGCAACAGCTCCCTGGGGTGATCTTGTAGTCCTATGTTGATGTTTATTTTCCATTGTAGTAGTCCATAGAACATTCTTAACTTAATTTGGCAATTAAGCAAGTTGTGCTTCTGTTGTTTGCATAGTATCCTGTAATAAGAGAAATGGGGCAGCCCCTTTGGTCAATTATCATAAGGAAGCTCTAAATCTGTAAAATCAAATAGTGAAGACGTTTGTGTGAAACTTTGGGGATAACTTTGGGAATGCTACAAGACATGTCGGGTTCCAGTCCAGGTAGAGCAGGATTGGGAACCCATGACAAGCCAATTGTTACGGTGGCTGCTTTATCTGTGGTTCATCTTTGTGTGATTGGGGGATGTCATGGTCGGATCTTGTGCAAAAGCCTGCATCTATGCACGTCGTTCGTACCTTTTTTGGACAAAGGGAGTAATATTTTGTTTCAAGTTTTACAAGACAGGGCATTGTGCAGACATCCATATTAATTGCTCGGCTTCTTGCGGTCGAGTAGTACTCATTAGTCTTAGTGAAAAGTTTTTTTTGTTGTTATTTTCTATATTGTCATGTCATATAGAATGAAATTAAACAGGGATGAAATAGTCATTTTCAATGGAAAGTTTTATTCTATGGTTTCATATATATGAAGGTGTTGTTTTCAATATTGTCATGTCATATGGAATGAATTTAAACATGGATGAAATAGTCATTTTCAATGGAAAGTTTTATTCTATGATTTGAAGACGTTTTTAATATTGTCATGTCATATAAAATGAAATTAAACATGGATGAAATAGTCATTTTTAATGGAAAGTTTCATTCTAAGGTTTCATCGATATTCAATTTCATGACTCACACGAGTTGATAATCGTACCAAAAGAGTTTCATCTATGTAAATTCATTTCTTCTCTCTTCCTAAAAACGTTGTCACGTTATAGAAAATGCATGTCACGACTTATTAAATACAAATGAAGCTCTAATGAAACTTCCACTGAGAATTGCCTTCTAAGTACATCATGAGTATTTAGGGCTTCTTTTTGGCTTACGATTGCACTTAACTTATTTTCTCTTCCTTTCTCCATCTCAGCATGAAACTGACGTAGCATTTTATATCCTTATACATCTCAGCACAAATTTGATGTGCCGATTTATATCCTTATACAGTGCCTTTATTATTTTTACGAGGTTGCTGGTCGTTCCACTCCATCGGCAGCATCTCCGAGCTTCCCCAAGTTCAACTTTCATCAGCGCAGCGGACTCCGTCAAATAAAAAAAAAATCATAAGCGGGCCATTTGCGAAAAAAAAAGAGGTGCGTAACTGCAGAATGGAACAAGGCCGAAAATGCTTCGGGATAGCGAAGGGGATAGCGAAGGGAAAGAGCCCATCGGTGCGGTCACCACGAATCATGGCTTGCTCGTCCCAGAAACATAGCCCTTGGGTAATTGGTTTGTTCTGGGCCTCTACCGGTCGTTGACCGTGACATTTGTACAGCTTCGCGCTTGTTGAGAGAGCCGTGTGGACGCCAAAAGTGACTTCAAAGTCTGTCAGAAACGACACCAGTGTAGACGTCCTAGTCAACGACTGGTGCCCAGACGGACGACAGTGAGACAGGTCACGAAGACTATGAATTTGACCGCCTAAAGAACACGGGGTCACTCCAATGTGACACTGGCACGGAGAGCACAGAAAAGTTGGCGCGATCGCTGAAAATTCGGCCTCCGTTTTTTCAGAGCCAGCTATGCCATGGTGCAATAAGCCGGCTATCATATACTGTAGGAGTATCAGCTAAAGCCGGAAGGGCAACTGCATCGCGCAGCGTCTTACCCACCGGAAACATCCAATGGAAAGACACGCCTCAGTTCAGATGCACAGCTTTGTTTCTCGATGGCAAGAGCAAGATCACCTGACACAGCACGCAAGCACATGTGAACCAGCACAGCAAGCACTACAAGCGGGCGGCAAAAGATTAGAGAAGATCGAGGGTCAGTTACAGGGCCATCAGGAAAGCAGGTGTACAATTAGTGAGGCTAACCAGGAACTCGAATAATGCAACCATGGCAAAGCGCCTTCCCCGCATCAAAATTTCTGCCAGGCACGTCCAAGGCCAGCTACTTGAAAAAACAAGAACGAAAGAATCACACGCACACAAGGGCGGGGGGGGGGTAAGGGACTGTAGACGTGATGTTATACTACGTAGTCAGCGGCATTCAGGAAACCCTCGTACTGGGTACCGTTGAGAGCACTGTAGACTTCGTCCCAGTTCTCAATTTGCTCCGACAGTGGCTTTGTGTGTATCTTCACGTGCCGGCTCACCAGATTCCTCCTCGGCACTTTGAGGAAATCCAGGACATCAAAAAGCTTCTGCAACAATGCAGTGCTTGTAAGCAACACAATGGAAGGAAACAGAATATGTTAACAATGAATCAGTAAGAACTCACTGTTCTGTTGCGAACGATATCCTCGTAATAGACAGTGATGTGGCGGTGTTATTTAGGTTTTGAAGAGCATCACGAGTGTATTCATCAGCTTGTTTCAGTTGCCATGTTAGTGATGTCGTGTTGAGCCTGGGCTTGTATCTTGCAAGTATATGAGCCTGTGAAGGAAAAATAACACATCAGACATAGAGATCACTCAGAGACTGCTGACATAACTGAGGCAGAGTTGAACCATTTCTTGTATAGCATTACCTCATGCTTTGTGTGAACATGGGCCTTATGTGTTCCATTTAATTGCTTAAGGGATCTGTCATGATTATTCGCTAGTTGTGATACCAACTGACGGAGCAGATTCCTTCTAAAGAGAAATATTGCAGAGACTCCTCTTTGATTGAAGTAGTCCACTACATCCACATGATTTGCCACAAGACCCTGAAAACGTGACCGTCAGAAGAATGCTTGTTTGTTTCCAGTATTCATGATTTTATTAGTCAATCTGTCTACCAGGTAAACGTTAGTTTTCAGCCTCAGACAAATTAGACGAATCCCTGAAAGAAATATGATTGCCATGTCGATTATAGTTGATCTACTGGACACACTATGAAAACTACTCCCTCCGTCCAAATTATAAGACATTTTGGCTTTTATAGATACATAGTTTTTGCTATGTACTTAGATATACACTATGTCTAGATGCATAGTAAAAGCAAGTATCTAGAAAGCCAAAACGTCTTATAATTGGAAAGGGGGGAGTATCAAATATATGCATTTGCAGTATACTCTCTTTCATAGTCCAAAATGCATCTAATGAACAGATGTAACAAAATCTCTTCTTCTTAATGCAATGACACGCAGTTCTCCTGTGTGTTCAATAAAAAAATTGTCTAAAATGCAGGATCTGGAGGCCAGAATATTTCAGATTGATGAAATTAACACAAAACTACAAAAGAATAGTATACTGCACAGGAGTACAGGACAATCATGCCAGGTTCAAGATCGAGTCAGAAACGATCCATTTTAGAATCACACATGAGGTTCACAAAAAAAGGTATATAACAAATCATTCAAGCATTCAGCAGTTCAGCTGAAGTAAGAGCCTGCACTTTTCTAGCTCTACACTAGAACCACAAACAGTCAGCCTACTTAGATTTACGAAATTCATGAAAAAAAATCAGCACATCTCTAGGCAACGCTGCCTAAACAAGGCATCAGAGCATTTAGCCCACCGAGCCCTGGGTGTGGATCAGTAACCATGCATAAGGTGTTTCTGACAGCAAGTCAGGAAATTAAACTAGCTATCCAACAGTCCCATAAAGGGGATTCCCAAAACAAAATTTCCATAGAGTAGGGGAAAGTTTGGTGCAATATGCAATAGCATCTAGCATCTACAGTTGAGAACACATGCCGTTTACGAGCCTACAGATTCAATAATTGAAATATACTGAAACTAAATGAAAAATAAATGAAAAGGATCATCCAAATAAATTATCTATACTGCATGTTTTAGTCCTCACCTGATTTAGCATCCACTTGAAGCCAATAGCTGCAGTGCACTCATTCTTGGAAGCGCTACTGTTCCAATCCAAATTGTACACTTTATCCAAGGTATTTATTATAGAGGAAATGTTACTTCTCCTTTCTTTTCTAGAGAAAATTTCACCATTGGAGCTAACATTCATGTGGCTGTTAAGAAGGGTTTCAAACCAGCCACTTCCAGATCGCTGTGATGATATAATTGCAAAGAATTGGACAGCATTGCACTTGCACTCCTCCCTAGAAATTAAAATTATATTAGGCATTAAACAAACCAGATTGCTCAATCTTGCTTCAGGGCAAATCTCACCTGCTGTAAGTTATCGGTTGAGGATAATGCACAAATTGAACCTCAGAAGGAGGAACTGTGGACTTATTACATGGTTGCTCCACAACTTCAATCTTGACGATTCTTGACCAGCCATCACTCCCTAGTTGCTTCATACACATTGAGCAAATAGATATCCCGCATAACATAGTCATAGCAAAGACAACCATTCTCAACGGGAGTGGTGATTTTTTCGGGGACTTCAAGTCAAATGCATTCTGCAAACAGATTCCGAGCAGTACAAAACCAATCAGAAGGTGCACAATGCATATTCCATTCAGTGCCAGTATATACATTGGAGCCCTTTTTTGAGGTAAGATCTGTCATTTTGTAACCTTGTGCTACAAAGTAACAAACCTTACAGCAAAATAACACAAACAAGAATATTTCTATGTTGGAACGAGGTGAGTTGAGAAGCATCCATTTGGCTACATCTATATAATAAATAAACAAATAAAACTTCAAGATCTATCTGGTCCTTCTTCCCAAACCCAGTTGTGTCCCCCAGGGGAGTTAAAATGGGCACGTACTATTCAAATCAGCTACTAGCCTTTACCAACATGGAAAACACGGCAAGGGATGAAAAGGGCCTTTTCTGTGAAGTACATTCTCAGATTCTGTCGCCGAACTGCCTTATACTAAATGAATCTATCCCAACGAGTATGACAGCTTTCGTTCTCATTCTCATCAAGGAAGACACACACACACACACAAACAGGTGGCCGAAAATGCTGGAAGTACTAATAAAGAGAGAAACAAATGCAAGCCGAGATGCATATTACAGCCGGAAGATGCAGTCATCATCAATACGACACATCTGAGGTGACACGAGCATAATAAACCGACTAAATCAAGTGGATTCCTATTCTGCAACTCATACTGCACCCAGAAATGGAACAGGGGAACAACAGATTCCTCCTTACTTCACCCGCGATAAAAAAGGATTGAACCAAAAACAAAGGGATTGTATGTAACCAAAAACAGAACTTAATACCAATCTTCAGTTTTGAAACAGAGAACGGAAACGGCTCCGAACTTGGAACTAGCAGACACATAAAAGGGGGAAACAGAAACAGGAAACGATTAAAATCAATGCGACCCCATTGATTTAGTGACATTTCAGATCAGGGTTCCAGGAGAAGAATGCTGGCTACAGAAAGCGTAAGTGCTGAGGGAAAGCTCGCAGAGACGGATTTAGAGTGTGAACCCAAGGGAATGATTCCAAAGGCCAACGCCAAAGGCACTCCGCTCCATTTTCCTTGAGATTTGTCAGCCTAACCTCGCTGCCCAGGCAAAGCGGAACCCGAAACGTGACCCAGGATCGCACAGGGCAACAAGTGGTGAAGAAATCCAACCTTGTTTCCAAACTGGTAGCACCAATCGTCTGCAGCGGCGGCGGCGGGCTTGTCCTCCGCCTTGGCGCCCCCCATGGCCGCGCCTCACCGCCTCCCCCTTCCTCGGCCTCCCGCCTGGTCCTCCGCGGGCGCCGCCTCGAGAGACGGCGGGTTTAAGTTAACCCGCCACCGTCGCTCGACGCCGCCTGTCACGGGCGCATTAACTGACCTCCCGCCTAGCCGCCGCGCAGCGCGGGGAGAAGAGAACGGTGGGCCCCCGGGTCCGTCGAGGGCGGCAGCAGGCGCGCGCCGGCTCTGGCTGGGGCCGCAGAGCAGCGCAGATGGCGGCAGGGAGCGAGCGAGGGCGGCAGGTGACTCGGTGGGACGGTGAGCTGTGTCTCGCCTCGCGTGAGGCGTGTCAGTGTGTACTCGCTCGACGCGTCTCGCCGTCTCGGTGGTTTTTGTTTCGGGTAGTATTCGGCAACGGACAAGGGGAAAGGAACGGGATTTCCCGCTTTTGCAGCGCCGTTTCTTCGTACGGCGTTCATTAAATGGCACATTTCAGTTTCTTTCATTTTCTGTGCTGAGAAGGAAAGGATAATTATTCAGTTGCATTCTTTGGTTACGTATCACAAGAGGCAATCTCATCCCGAAAATTAGGATAATAATTTCTATGACCCTTAATTAATATATTAATTAACTAACTAAAATACTGATGTGACACTAGAATTAAAAAAGAAATAAGAAAATAGTTTTTTTATTAAAAACTATTCACAAGATTTAACATAGGAAGAGATGATAGGAAAGAGAAGACAGGCGATTGGACAAAAACATATTTGGAAGAAACTATAATTAGAAATATAATGTATTTGTGTAGTGTCTACGTGACTTGACGAGTATTATAAAACATCATGTTCTAGTCTCTAGACTGGGACTAAATGTTTTACAAACTCTCTGGCTTTGTTATAGAAAAAATCTAAACTGCCGTATTGTTGAAAGAAATAAGGAAATGTACTTTTTTTTATCTATCAACTGGAGCTTATAGTTACTCCCTCTGTTAATGTCCTAATATAGTTTTTATAAATCGAATTTCTTTAACTTGAACAGTTTTTTTTTTATAAAAAAAGCTACACTACAACGCCAAGTTACCTTCATTAAATTATGTATAAAAGATGTGTTAGTAAACGTTTATTTCAAGTTGTAGATGATTCTTTTCTCAAAAAAAAAAAAATGTAGTCCCAGCTAGATGTTGGACTTGGACCGCCTATTGTTGCTAGTAGGTATAAAGAGATTGTGATATGCAAAGGGCGTGTGGACGATGTGCTGTCCTGCCTACCCTTGGAGTGATTGCTCCACGCCTCCACGTACGTTAAAAAAAAAAGGGTTCGTATGAAACCCTGTCTGAAGCAACCAACCACACGGCATGATGAGTAGCGTGATCGAGTACACCGGCGTGGCGTGTTCCAGGAAGGAAGGCGATGCGATGAAAAGGTCTCCCATCCATTGCCGTTCTTGAGCGGGTCGTGTCGCGTGGAGACGTGTGACGCGTGAGAGCAGATAGACTCGTCGATCTTGCGTCCGGTCAACCGAAACAACGTACGGGCCGGACGCCCCCCACGCCCCACCACAGAGAGAGAGAGAGAGAGAGAGAGAGAGACCAACGGCGTTGACTTTTTGTTCGAAGAAGCCGGTGCGGGTGCGGGTGCGGTGGAGTAATCGCGCCGGCGGTGGCGGTGTGCTTACCTTTCGAAACAAACTATCAACGCGCGCGGCTTTACGTGTTTCGTGGTAGGAGAAAAATACTGTATATTTTATCTAATAAATCGGTTATTGTGAAACAAAAATATGAGAAAAAATACTGCAGATTAGAGCATGAGCATTCAGTCAGATTTCAAAAAGCGGCTGCATACGTACTAGGTGATCAGGCAGCCATCAGGCCTCGCTCGTTCGTTTATGAAAGCGCTAATCTTTTTTGTTTTTACAGTCGAGTCATCCACGCGGCGGCCTTTTTTCGCACGGCACACCGTAGTCATGTGTATGCCTACGTTCCACAAAGAATACAACTATAGTTTGCATGCCAACTAAAGTGGTTCATGTTTAACCAAGTTTCTAGTAAAAGATATTCACATTTATGATTTTAAATTAATTTATTATAAAAATACATTTCGTATTTAATCTAATGGTATTTGTTTGATATCATAAATATTAATATTTTATTATCTATAATTAATCAAACTTAAAATACTTAAACATGGTACTACACTAGACTCGTATTCTGTGTGGGACGGAGGGAGTACATGCGACATGTGTGGGTGCGCGCGTGCTCCTTCCATTCCATTCCGTTTGCAAGCCAACCTCCCAAACCACCCACAAAAGATAGAGAAAGATCGCGCGAGAGTGTTATGTTACCGGCCGGCCGCCGACTGTTGCTCGTCACGTCAGCGGCCACTCACTCAACTCGCGGGACGTACGGTCGTCGACCATCATCGTATCATCGCTTTGCAATTGCAATCAGAGTCAGTAATTATTGCATCGGTCGCCACCACCCCCGGTGGCCGGTGCTGGTGCACCACACCTACCCCCGGGCCCCAGAGACCACCAGATCGCGCGGACTCGCGGAGGCAAGCCCAACTCGATCGATTCGAACGTGGACGGAGCACCCAAAAAATGGAAAGGAAATGGAACGCCGACCCGGGCGGTGCACTTCGATCCATGGACGGGAGCAGAGGAGTGTGACAGTGCGTGTTTGAGTGCGATGGACTGGATGCGCACATGCCCCAATTGTCGGTAGCGGTCACGCGCCTCCCAACTTGGCTCAGGTCAATCTTAATGGAGGTTTGTCAGAGTTTCATGGATATTAAATACGTTGACGTGGTATTGTATTAATTAAAAGAGATAATAAAAGTTTTATGAGAGTAGATATAGTTTTATGGAGATAAAACTATTCTGCACTGTTTCCAAAATATAAGTGTGTTGAAAACTGAGCTATGAAACCCCCGCTGAGACTGACCTTACACCACACGCTAGACGCTATAGCAGGATCAAGTGAAGAAAATTAATTTCCTTCTGTATTTTACATGGAAACGTCTAGCACAAATCAATCAATTAACCATATGGGAGGTATGATTGCAGATGCAGGCACAGTTCCATCTTAATTTTCCCCCAAATTCTGCATGTGGCGTTTTCTAATTAATATAAGGTGCGAGCTAGCCCAACCCGCATATGCAGATTTGATTTTTTGAGTTGCTTGTTGCGAGCAATTCATAAAAATTAAATATAAACTCCATCCGTCCTGTAATATAGTGCATTGTAAGAATTTTAAGATAAATCATAAGAGAACATAAAAGACGCATGTACTCTCATTTAATTTTTTAATTAGACGTTATCATCAACATAATTAATAGTGATTGGTTGATAAATGAAAAGTATTTATTATAAAATTGGTTTTTTGTCTTTAAAATGCATTATATTTGAAGATAAATTTTAAATGCTAGAATATACTATATTACAGGACCGAGAGAGTATAAGAATTCATAGGCTAATATATTTACATCTCTGTTCGTGACAGTTTGATCGCCATGTCTTTACATAAGGGTCATGTATCAAATATGAGTATTATTACGGAGTATATTATAGATATAAAGCGTCTGTGAGTTGCCGTGGAACTTTTTTTGGTAGAGGGCACTATTCTTCCGTGAAATTGCTGTAGGACACTGCATTTTTTTTTTCTTTGCTCGTACACTGGGCGGTGTCCTACAGTAAAGAAATTAGTCTCCCACAACAAAGAAAAAATATTCCAGTTTTTCACAACCAATTTCACACAAGTGGAGTGTCCCACGGCAAAAATTTCCATAATTTATATATAGAAGGAGAAAAAAAACATCAGGACGTAGGTAATGCGGGCTGTGAATCTAGGTAAACAGTGCACCCAAACTAGTTTTTTTTTTCTTGTTTCTCACTGTACGATCTTTGTTCATTCTAAATTTTTGTAAATACTAGGTAGCGTGTCTGTGCGTTGTTACAGAACAGCTAAAGTTTTATACTGAAAACACATGGATCGCATGATAAGATAATAATACTGTGAAATTAAATACCGACGTTAAAGTGATATTTAATCCAAAAAGTAAAGTTCATGAAATTAACACAGTCACAGAGAGCGTGGCGTCGCAGGCTCACAGACTATACTTTATAGACCTTTCTTTGATGCGGGTAAGATAATATTTTATATCGACGGGAAGAAATCTCCGATGTTCATTTCTTTCCTGCGCCAATAAAACCACGAATAAGTACCGCCGCATCTCCATATCATCATGTACACATGTTCGAGTATATTTATAAACATTAGTGCCTGTCACATGGGTAATACTGCGTGTCTTCAAAAATCTATCACAAAACCTTAAAACAAAAGTATGTTATAGTCACCGTATAAACATTTTTCAACAATTACATTGCAACTCCGCTAATTACAATACAACAACACATATGACGAGAAATATACATTGTATGACCTCTAAAATTCTTTTTGAGAAAACTGACCATAAGTTTCTTGAAAAGACAAATGACGGCGCACACCCTATGCCGCTATAGCCTGTCTCGCGCCACCTCGGCCGAGCCCCCAGCGATGTGTGGCGCCACAGCTACCCCGCCCCTCGCCCAACCTCGGCAGCTCCAAGTGGCCCCCCATGCACGGCTCCACCTGGGCTGTGCCACGTCAGAACCCCACAAACAAACGCAAACCTACAACACTCTTCGTGTATGAGTTCACAAATCATGCTGAACAAAAAGTATCAATTCAACTTTGCATTAGTTCATATGTACAAGGTATATATTTATTTAAATAAAGGTATATAGACGACACATATGCCCTCCGCGAAAGTAAATTGGTTTTAGCCACAGGCCACCCAAGGAGACATGCATACAACTGGAAATACACCTGATAAAAAGGACACTGATTAGATGATAGCCTGCTATCTAAATTTTCAATGCTCAGTGTCTATATATAGCATCACATCCTTCTTGAGATTAACTTGTGCACAAATAATCAAATATTACATAGACATAGTTACATATAGATAGAACCATTTGACAAAAAAGTA